TGATATTAGTTAATTACACTTTTTACAATTATGTATGCCATGAATATGTATAATAATGAATAGATATTAATTATGTAGACTATGTTCGAACGAGCTTTCGTCATTATTAGCCTGGTATACGGAATATAAAGATTATGTGCGCGTTATATTGAATGTAAATGGAAATAGACCATAGGTGAATATGTAATGAGATATTTTGATATATTCCTTCTGATTTAGCTTATAATTGGGGCCCTCTGTTTTCCACAAAACGATCTCATAATGTTCTTATTATATGACATGTTTAATCAATTCCATTTGAATACTTTTTTAATATTATAGTATAGCAAATTCGCAATAACATAATCAGCGTTTTCATACCTCAGCACCATCAAGATTTACCCGCGGTTTTGTTTGCTAATCAAATGATAAGATGTTTTTATCAATAACAGTTTATAAATTGCAATAACCTAACTTCAATTCGAATTCTATCTAGTCACGTTATTATTACAATGCTTATTGAGGACAATTACTGGAAGCTTTACATTTGATTCGTTTTGATAAAACCCAACATAATGTACATTTTAACTCCGATATTCTAAAGAATACGAAATAATTTTCAATAGGCGTAATGAAAACGCAGTACTGTACGTTGAACCTGAGCTTAATTTAGATATTGGGAATAGCATTAAATAGAATGCCCCGTGTATCGCCATCCCCCGTAATGTAACAATTATTGTAATCTAAAACTTAATAACACCATTTATTTATATTGGATGGAAGTGTAATTAATTGCCCCATGTCGCTCAATGTATTAGGTATTTAGGTACTTAATGAGCGGTCGAATTGTGAATTTAACTAGGTACCTATCAATAAATTTTACATTCTAACATATTTTTGCAGTTAAGAATATTTGAAATTGAAAAAGAAAACTCATATACAAGTACTTACTTACAATTTGCATTAACAACTTGTTTGTTTGTCTTTTCATTGATAATCATGTTAATATAAACCTCTTTTCTTTAATTTTCGAAGAAAATTGTAATTACTTAAATAAAATTAATTACTTAATTACGAGAAAATAAAAAAAGACGATTATGGCAAAATCCAGCAGACTATAATGGATATTTTTTTTAGACAATTATGATTGAAAGTATTATTTTCGTAACGGCTAATGTTATATTGTAAAAAAATGAAAGTGATCGAACGTTATTAGATTTAGACGTGAAAAATGTAATGTTGTTAATGTTTTAAGATAAAAAAAAAGTAACTTTTGTAAAAACTGAATTTTTTACAATGTCTTGAAACAATCCTGGTGGATACTCACGACTAGAGTTGAAGAATTCGTAAGGACCCCGAATATTATAAACTATTTGTCGTCAAAACGTTTATTTTTATAAAATAAAATGATGTTTCAAGTGAGCACTGGTTGTTATTATTTCTTCTCCTGGTGGTAAACTTTACATTCCTACCTGAATTAACACGTCATGTTGCCTAATACATGGACCAATTAATCAAATACAAGTTTTATATTTTTTTGTTATATTTTTTTTATTTTGAAGCATTTAGTTAACTGCTAGGTAATTAATCTAATGAAAATTTTACTAGAAAAAAATTCCACGTGGACCAGTCAGCAGACGGGAGCGGGGGGTGCTGGTCCGCGTGGAACTTTTTCAAGTAAAAAGTTCTTTAGTTTTTTTTTGTCCGTAGTTCTATCAGTAGGACCATGGGCACCAACGATAATACACTAGATACATCAACACGAACAAAATTGTGGCCGGAACCTGTCCAAAAGGTACATAGGACGATCCACAGAGCTCCAAAAGATGATCGCGTAGTCAAAAACAAAATAAGGCATTGTTGACTTTAACGCACACTCTATAAGCTCGTAAAATTTTTCGACTTTTAGTTTTCGCTCAAAAAAAGCTCAAAATAGTTATTCACAATAGTGGTGAAGTAACTGTAATTAAATATAGACCTTATTCCTTTGACTCTACGCGCAATTCTGAATGCGCTGTTAGCAAAATAGCAGTAACGGACCGCGTGGAAAAGAGACGGCTATATTACCGACCATGCATAATATCACAAATATTTTGTATTATATCAGTTTATGATAAGTATTAGAACAAAATTAGCTTCAAATGCGTTAAATTAATAAATATAGATGCCTCTCGAAAAAACGACACTTTACGTACCTACTATAAGAATTTTTTCCGTATTTTTTTAAGGAGCTCTGTTGCATCTTGGCTTTTCAGCTTTCCGCGCGTGACTGTGAACCAAGAAGTGCTTGAGTGGTGTTCAAGCACTTCTTGATTGGGACACATTTTGAGCGCGCGTGGTGTATCTAAGGTATTTAATATCGTTGGTGGGCACCTAATAATAACGGCAATTTTTTTATCCATAGTTCTATCACTAGGACAATGGGCACCTATCAATTACTTTGTATTATAGACAATGATCTTGCTGGTAGTACCAAGATCAAATTTTTATATTCGACTGTAATAAAAACATGATGATTTCATACGGGCAATGGTCCTACTAATCAATTAGTTTGGTCAACGTCAATTTTATGAAATGTTCCTGGCGTAAAGGGTCCTGACTTCCTATGACTAAATACATAACACAAATCATTATTTTCAAAAATACTACCAGGAGACCATACATGACAAGAGGTTCTGGTAATAATAAAGGAAAAAACATTCTTGATCTTTTATTAAAAATAGATCTAATAATTGTAGCCAAGGGAAGAGCCAATTAAATTTAATTTTCCACTGTACCCTCAAGCTCAAAATAAGCTTTCAATACTTATTTATTTTCTTATTATTTTAGTCTCCTATTGATAGAACCTTAGTAGTCCTATTGATAGAACCATGAACCACTAAAAATTGCCCGTGGCAGTAGGACTACCTGTAATGCTAGGTACCTATGGTACTACTGATAGAACTATGGACAAAGAAAAAATCCGTGATACTACCAGTAGGAACACGGACAATAAAATGTATTTATTCATGTTAAAATTTATGGGAACAATAAAAGCATTTTGGAACAGCTGACATAATAGTCAGACCTATGTTTAACAGTGGGTGTCGAACACACCCACTGCTGAGCATAGGTTTTCCCCAAAGATCTTCGCACTAATCGGTTCTGCGCCTTTCCGCGACCTTTACAAGATCGTCCGTTCACCTCGTTGAGGGACTGTCGTCCGGTGACTGGTCACTCTTCGAATCTTTCCACCCCAATGGTCTTCGGTTATTCTCACTACGTCTCCCGTAGGTACCCATCGCATAGAGCATTCGATGCCCGTACATTTGTTACTTCAACAGAACAATCCTTCGAGCGATATCGGTTACTTCAGTTCGCCATTTTACTGTAGCGCGATAAGATTTGTCCCTCTTATAGACCCGGCTTTTAAATCTCATTTCAAATACTAGTAAGTAGAACTGGAGTTTTTTAGCGAGGGAATTGCTAAATTTGCTATAGGGATATTGATTGATGGGGAAATCGTTTAAACGGATGGAATCGGTAATAATTGGGCGGCATAACTGCCACCACCCCGGGCGGCTGTTTAGAAAATTTAATATTCTTCAAATGGCTGATTGAAAGACATCGCAATGGGAGTTATATCTGATGGGAAACTGCAAGTGACCCTTTCGGATAAAAGTGTAAGTGCGCTTGTAAACGTTCACGAGCACGCTTTATACCGGGGTGACGTTATCAAACCTCCAGTGTCAAACTATATACCTAGCTGACGACCGGATGTAAACACGGTTTAAAACCGTGCCTACACCCAGCGAAAAGCAGTCGACCGTCTCATTAACTTTACTTGGTTGGCTTCAAACAGGCAGTCACTGCTCTTGCAAAGATGCTTTGTACAAAGAAGAACAATTCCTCTATCGAAACTAGTTCCCGAGTCTGCAGTTTCGTAAACGGACGAAGGGATTCTTGTTTCCTTATTTTTGAAGACTGACAAAAACAGTATCATGGAGCTGACAAAAACATTTTTCTTAACAGTCTACGAACGAAAGACGAATTTTTATTCACTATTACGTAACTGGTTAAGAAAAAAGAAAAATATTTTATCAGTTTTCATAATTGGTTAAGAAAACAAGTTATGATAACAGGAAAAAAAAAATAACCAGTTACGAAAACGTGAACAATAATTCCATGTTCGTCTTTGTAGTTATATTACTAATTGAGTGTATATGGTTGGTTCATCGATTTGTAAAATTGTGGCATTGGTGAAAGTAATTCACAATGGTAGTGAAGTAACTGTAAATAAATAAAACTAGTAATTATTTTTGTATTTTCTTTTTGTTGGGTAATTACTGAACACCTTCACCTTCTTAGCTAACATTTTATTTTCCCCTAACTGATAGTCTTCAAACAATTATGAAAACAGATAAAATATTATTTATTAGTAACCAGTTTGGAGAAAGGAAATGAAAAATATTTCGTAGATGGTTCAGAAAAAAAAACCGGCCAAGTACGAGACGGACTCGCGCACAAAGGATACCGTATCATTATAATAGATAACTTCTTTTCTATGGAAGCCCCATTTAAATATGTATTTTATTTTGTTTTTAGTATTTGTTGTTATAGCGGCAACAGAAAACCATCATCTGTAAAAATTTCAACTGTCTAGCCAGTCACGGACAGCGGAGTCTTTAAAAAAATTAACAACGGTTAAGAAAATTAACCAAAGGGTATTATAGTAAGTATTAAAACAAAATTTGCTTCAAATACGTAAAATTATCAAACATTGACAACAGGAGATATCTATCGAAAAAACGACATTTTACATACTATAAGTATTCATTTCGCATTTTTTCACGGAGCTCAGCGGCATGTTGACTTTTCAACGGTCCGCGTGTGACTGTGAACCAAGAAGTGCTTGAGTCATGTTCAAGCACTTCTTGATAGGAACACATTTTGAGCGCACGTGGTGTATCTAGGGTATTAAATATTGTTGGGTTCCAGGCCACCAAAAATTTACTTCAGGTATGTTGTAAATAAAAGAATGGTTGTGTAAAGGATTTACTATATTGTTATGTACAGAGTGACCTATTCACAAATTCAATACAATATCGTCCCAATTACACGTTGTAACCTTAAAATAATACGAAACCACTAAGTGTAACATTTTACAGTAAATGGAACTAGTTACTCCTGTGGAATTTCATAAAAGATTTACGATCACAAAACAGACAGTCCTTTGAAACGATATAAAATAATATTCTTATGTATTTCGAGGCATAGAGGAGAATCTAGCAATACTCAAGTTGTAGACTACCATTAGTAAATTTAAGTACTATCACGATTGCCAGTCATCGATATTTACACTGTTAACTAATCTATTAGTTTCATCAAAATGTTATCTCACACAAGTACACATTTTTTTTATTGTAAACAACATGTTTTTAAACAAAATTATAAAATATCTAAAGTAAAATAAAGGAATATAATTTAACTATGTACAATTTTTTTTCGTCAAAATTAACAAAACCTTAGCTCGATCGCTCATCTCGTCACGCACTCTCAGAAGTTTGCAAGCATTTTACGTTAAGTTAAACTAATCTTTCTATGGACTCTTATAATAAGATTGCTTTTTTGTTCTGATTTTAATGTATTGCTGAATGAGTTGAAAAATACATTGGTTTAAGGCCACATCTTTAACTTTTGAATGTTGTATATTTAATACAAATAAAAACACCACATAGAAAAACAAAGTACCTACACAAAGATACTGATTTATTGCACAACGACTTGTAGCTATCACTAGTATCAACAGTTCAAAACTGTCAAAACAAGATACATTTTCAAAGATCCGATCATGTTGTAACTAGTGTCAATGTCAAAACAGAATAAGTGATTCGATGATTAACCACTTCCAGCCCTGGATCAAATAATTTGAAACCTTTGCCTTTACTTAAGTCCCAATCATTGGCCTTCTTCCTATTATTGGCACTTTTGAGTTTATTTCGAAAATACCAGGAAACAATAGATTATAGGAATAACTAGCAAACCAGTGAACCAAATGTTCACCAAAACCTGATTTCTCGAAAACCGGAAGTGCTACGTTACTCAAATCCGGTTTGTAGTCTTATCAGACTATTCTTAACTTATAACTTAAATATTCTCTTTATCTATCTCTTACGGTTTGGCCGCTGAAACAGCACCACAAACAGACGGACTTGTCTAATAGATAAGAGATGCTGGCAATTTTCAAATTTCGAAACCATACTAGGTTTTTCTTAATAATATGTAACGACCTCGAAAAATCTATTGTCTCCTTCTTTTTGAATTAAACTCAAAAGCGCCAATAATAGGAAGAGTGCCAATGATTAGGTGGTTTCCCCTACTTATGTATAACTGAAAACAGAGCGCAGTGTTTTACTCTAAATTCTTAATACTTTAGTAGAAAACTACTTTTTAAAACAAACATAATTATAGCTCATTAATACGCAAATTTAGAAAGAGGTTTTACTATACTCCGAGATAAATGCTTAAGATTTAACATATAATTAATTCTACAAACAATAATTCCGTTGCCACTGTTGCAGTATTGTATTTGCCCTAAAGCATTTAGCCCTAACCACGAGACAATTTGCCCAAATATAATTTAAAAGAACAAGACTTTCCTAAATAACTTGGGTTATCTAGATTACTGTAGCATGAATGATTTATAAAAATAATATCTATAATAATATAAAAGGTATGTATTATAAATTGTCGATACAATCAGAAATTAGACAATATTGATACATGAGCACAGTCGGCGTCACCTTTTAGACTTTTTGTTGGATAAAAATTGTAAAAAAGTCTAAAAGGTACGCTTCAATATAAATGTCGTTGTAAGCATTACTACCACTGTGGTTTTCTGCCTGTAAAAATGTAAGTTGAGAAAGCTATTTAAAAAAAAAATGCTATTATGGTCATCTCGGGTGTGTTCTCTGGCAATTTCATCTTAAAAATATAATTAAGGCCAATATTGTTATTAGAGTACTATAACAGAAAGTAAGACAAATCGTTTACAATAACATTGCATTATCGTAGAACGTGCATTTTCAATAAGTTATTCTCAGTGAGATAAATGAAATATTGTTCTGTTCAGATTATTGAAAATTAACAAGCAACTCCTTAATTTATCTTAATCACAGCACTTTTTAAATTAAGAAATGCTTTTGCTAGTGTCCGTGTACCACAAATAATTTTCTTTATATATTTGTACTTACGTGTATGAATACTGTTAAAATGTACTAAATTAGCGATCTTGTTAGTATATTAAAGAACATTTCTTACATCGCGATGAGAGATACCGTTCACTAAACCCGTGTATTTCAGTCTTATGAAAAGATTTATCGACAATGTATTGTTCACGCCGTACTTATTCTATCGACACGTTAACTTCGACGTAACCGCCGTTACATTTTAATAAGTGATATTCAATAATATTAACTAACAGTATTCACAGCCAGCAAAGGCTCAAAAAAAATACCAATAAGGTTTGTTTTAGATTAGTTAACTAATTTGAAATAGTTACAAAATAATGGATATTACAGAACGAAATTAACAGAGAGACCCCAGATCTTAGAATCTAGTGACCAGTCAACATAAAGCAATCAAGATGGCCAACATATCATTTTATTTTCTAACATTAATTAACATTTAGAAGTTATTAATGGACTAAGTACTGCTAGAGCTTAAATAAATAAATGGAGGCAAACGTTTTTTTTAATCTTCCATATGTGCTAGTATTCGAGTTATTAAGGCCCATATTACAGAATGACAACTAAGTGTTGATCTTTACTTGAGTACAGTTAGAAAGGGATATCGCTATGTGCTATATATAGCGACATCCCTTTCTAACTATGTTCAAGACTAGATTAATTACTGAGAATCTTTCTATAATACGGGCCTAAAAAATTATGAACAAATGTAATTAGTAAGCAAAATCATGTATGGCAGCTTGGCTATTTTTCTTGTATGTATATTTTTAATTTTAATTTTCAAGGTTCGTACCTCCGTTTCGTATAAATGCTATAAATCGTTGCATTAGGCAATATTAAAACAAAAACACAACCAAATCATCGATCGACTACAACATAACCAAATTTCAACAAATGGAAGAGTATACTGGGCAAGCAATGTTAAAATAAATTAATCACCAATGATTTCACCTTAAACATAATAATCTCTTCCAAACTAGATTTATTTTATACTCTTACTTATCCCACCAAAGTTTATAAACAGACAATTATTCACTTTATAAAATTTCCTATAAAATCTTTTGACGTCAAAAAGATCCAAAAATTACTTAGTATTCATTTGTTTCCCTCAAACGTCGCACTCAGAGGCGGCAATTAATTTTAAGTTTCAATAAAGTCACTGCTGTCACTTTCTTTAGGATAACTAGAATAAGGACGACACCTCACTGTGACAAGTGTTAAATTTAATTGAAGTCCCTGCGTGCGACCCTCAGTATATTTTAAAATAAAACAATTCGATTACAATTGTATTTACAACAGTAGGTACTTAATCCAAAATAAAATATATGAGCCATCGGCAACATTCACTCGGTCGAACTTCAAGATTTCATTCTACAGTAATCTGTAATAACAAACTCACTTTTCACCGCTGAATTCGCCGGTATAATTTTAAATTTATTTGAAACTAGTGGCTTCTCTCTCTTCTTCGCTTCGTTGTAGAGCTGTAGTGTAGGTAGACTATAGTTTTTGTTCTCAGGCTTGTATTATACACAATGAATTTCTTTATATATTTTTTTTTTCTCACGAACATTTCAAGATAAATCCGTTCAGCCGTTCTCGAGTTTTAGCGAGACTAACGAACACCAATTGTTTTTTATGAATATAGATTTGTATTCTAGTTTTAAATAACACCGCGGATTCCGAGTTGAAAATTGAGTTTGTTCTCACAAAATAGCAAAGCAAAGGAAGCTTTTGCGCCGCGTAAGGTCATTGGACTCCACAAATATTATTATTAAAAAATAAAAAGTGAAATTTGAGCCCGCTTAGCACAAAAAGTGAAGCACTTCATAAGACTTTTTGTTTTTGCTAATTGTAATTCTAACAGTATTTTTTCCTTCTTGCTTTAGGAATGAAAAGAGACTGCTGTCAAATTTACAAATATCAAATACTAATATGTGAAGTACCAGTATAAATCATAAAATACCTCTGTTCCATTAGAAAACCTTTCAGCAAGCAATGATAATTTTTAGATCGAAATAATCCTAGTCAACGTTTTGTAATACTTAAATAATAATAATTTGTATTGTGTGAGAGATAAACAATTATAATAATAATAATAATAAAAAGTACACAAACTACGATGGACAACCAAAGCACGGAGATCATGAAACGTCAAATACTTTAAAATGTGTTCAAGTCTTGGTCTATTAAATAGCTCTTGTAAAAGCTCTGTCTGGTTCTCCATTAAAACTGAGATTACAGTCAATAAGAATCTGGAACTCTCAATTTTCCGTCACAGTACGTACCTGATTGACTGACTTAATTAGGATGTTTCAGATTGTATTTAAGAGTATAAAATTTAAACATCGTAACGTAACGACGAACTTTTGGCCAGGTCGTCGTTTTTATTTTTGTATGAACTCTGAATGTCACTGGTAATATAATACCGGTTTCGACCTATCAAATATTTAAACATTGGCTTGTGTTCTTAGTACATAAATCAGCAGTAAAGAATTTAGTCAGATTTGCTTACCACCTTGAAGAGGCCGTCAGAATCTCCAGATCTTTAAATTCAAGTTCCAAAATAGTTTATTCAGTTTGGGCTGTTACAAGCACTCATAAAAGTCTAAGTATCCTTAAAGTTGACTTTCGATATATCGCCATTGTTTTTCATCGTACTCTTACTTACATAACTTTTATTGCCTTAGAAAAGGACACAAGAAAAATTCACGATATATCTAATGTTGATTTCAAGAGTACGTTTTCTGCAGTTAAGATTTCGTAATACGAAGAGCTAAGAAGTTAAGTTCATAAAGTTGTCGTCAATTTACCTTCCTTCGAAGACAGGAACTGAATAAGGCAAGGTGATGAAGAACTTCGGTCCACTGTGGCGAAAAACTAGTATAACATTATTGCTTCTTTCATTTGAAATTGCGATGAAATCACGATATTGTTAGCTAATGAGCGATAGACCAAGAAAGTGATGAAGAGGTGGCTCTCGAACTCATAACATTCGAATCTGGCAATCCAGACACGAAGGCAGGCAAGTCATAACGATGATGTTCTTTAGAGGATACCCCTTAAGCCATCGTTTAACCCTGCCGCTGCTGGGTCTGGGACACCACCTGTAAACATAACACATTTGTAAAGGCCCCGCAATATGGCAGAGTATTTAAAACGTTCAGGTTGAAAATGCAGATGACGTAGGACGACTTAATAAAAATCGAATTTTCGTGAAAATCCTAGGGGTATTATGAAAAAACGGATAAGACAATGGTGATGACACTTTTAAATCTTTCTGAAAAAACGATAGGAATTCCGTAAAACATAGTTGGCTTCCGGAAGTTGACATTTCACACTAGGTTAGGTTAGGTTAGTGCTGTGACTATTACGAGCGAGCCGAGCGAGCATAGCCAGCGTGCGTCATCGAGAAATGTCTTGAACATCGTCTAATCGTCCGCGTTTTCGCAATATCCATAGGAATTTCGCGAAAATTTGACCATTTATAAAGCATTGATTTGGCCCCTGATAAAGAATCTTATTTTGCAACATAATGTGGCGTTATGAGAATAATCGACAATGTAAGTATCGTAGCAATAGTAATACATATATTCAAGTAAATTGAACAAATTCGGTTAACAGTAAATAAGGTATTGTATGAAAACATCACATTATTCAGTTTAGCGTAACCCAACTCATGGTAACCAAAACGGCAATTTTGTAAAATATTGTCTCTTTAAAATTAATATACTAAACAGCATTATGAATCCCGACAAACAAATCTAAATTTACCGTCGTAGTAAAGCGTATTACACTATCAGAATATAATAAGTCCTTAAAATAATTAACTACATATAACAGTGTAGCTGGCATACTGCTACGTCCTATTAACTTCTAAATACCTAACTAAAGTGATTTGGTACTGTTTGCACCTCACCTTCATATTCTGCTTCTCCTTCATACTCCGCTTCTTCTTCCTCTTGCTGTTGTTTTGCTAACGCTAAGTGACCCATTTTGTATGCTGTCATCTCCTGTAGAAATTACATTTTAAGAACAATTTGAACATCTGTTTCTTGTTATAACCTAGTAGCTGCCCGCAACTTAGTCGCGATAACTTAAAAATTTTGAAAACCTCTCAGGAAGCTAATGTTTCCCTGGATAAAATGTATGTAGTATGACTCAAGCTATGTTTGTGCCAAATTTCATCGAAATCCATACAGCCATATTTGCATGATTGAGTAACAAACTTTCAAATATATATAAACTCTCACATTTATAACAATACTAGTTGTGCCCCGCGGTGTTACCCACGGTTTAGTAGGGATATTTTCCCGCAGTAAAACGGAGCCTATGTGTTAATCCAGGGTGTCAGCTAACTCCATACCAAATTTTATAAAAATGGCTCCAGCATTAGACGTGAAGAAGTAACAAACATATACACACACACACTCAAAAACTTTCGCCTTTATAATATTAGTGTGATTAGAATTGGTTTATGAATGGATGCCTGCCCCCGTAGCATGAGCAACACGACACACATTATATCACGTTTTTTATCGCGTTTAACTGTCAATTTGACAATTTATCATGATAAAAAAAGAGTGATATATCATATAAAGGTACTCATGCTGCACTGCTTTCGTTGTGTTTCATACACAAAACTATTGTTACTTTATTAGGAATAAGACAAATGGATGTGATGGTGCCTTTTATATAATAATTTCAAGTTTATTCGTTGATTACATGAAATGGATAATGACAGTCCTCAAAGTTTAAATAGGAGCAAATGGAAGTCAAAGAATGTAGCAGCTCTAGTTTCGTACATTAACCCGTGAAAAACTAGTTTTATTTAATGAGTGATGTGCGTGAAAACCTAAGAAACAAATAGCTATAATTTCTCCCACTTATCTATCTACACGTTGTGTTAGCACTTGATGTGGCTCTTCGTTTTTGCTATTAATTATACATTTGACACAGTATACCAATATCGTGCTCTATCTAAAGGTAGGGCTGCCATCCGTCCGGGTTTCCCCGGATTTGTCCTAGTTTAAGGGGCGTCCGGGGAGCGTCCGGGCGGGGTTTTATTTGTAGTCCGGGTTTAAAAATTTACGGCAACGCATGAGTGGCCCTTGTTGCTGCAAGTGTCCATGGGCAGCAGAGACCACTTATTATGAGGTAGACCGCTAGCTCTTTTGCCTAGATCAACATAAAAAAGTTGATTTGTGACATTTTTAACTGTTTTTATATTGTTCTGTCCGAGTTCTGGGCTCCAAAATCCGGGATTATCAAGCGTCTTATCCTGGTTACCATATTTTAGAGATGGCAGCCCTATCTAAAGGGAATGAAAATGAGATACTGATGTTAAAGTAACATTAATGATAGCAAATACAAATACGCATGGTAAAGTTTCAGAATTACAGAAATAACACTTCATTTTTTTCTTTTTTTTTCTAGATAGGTCCGACAAATGACTCCACCCCACCTGATGTTAAGTGAGGTTGAAGTCCAGACGCGAAGATAGCTTCAATTCCAACTGAAAATCCGCTATGCCTCATACCTACCTCTTTCATTCTGTTATTTTTTATCGGTATTTTGTATGGTTTCTACAACTCCACGGGTTATATGGTATGACGTTATCTGATGCTGCAGGTATCTAAAGGTTAGAAGCCGCATACCATCGGACGACCCGCATTCTAATTTCCTATCCTTATAATATAAAGCAGTCTTCCGCATGGAATGTTCGCCTCACTTATTATCATCATCAGCAGCATCCACTGCGGGCCTTCCCTATGGATGGAGTAGGAGCTTAATCGGTGACCCACCACGCAGGCCCAGTGCGGATTGGTGGGTGCTAACGACTTCAGATGCAACCAACGGCTTAACGTGCCATCTTAAGCACGGAGCTTTTTTTAATATAAAGCACAACAAATTACACCACTCTCCATCTGATATTTAGAGTTCAGGCGCAAAGATAGAATTCTTGCCGTCCTGAACACCTACCCCGTGGAGCCCTGAAACCCTATTCGTCAGCAGGAACACACTACCACCAAAAGGTAGTTATTAAAATAACGCAACTGTCCTCTTCTGTAAGGTGGAGGTTGCTTCCCCAGACGGGCGCTCCAATTCGAACGGGATATCCGCTGTGCCCTATCACTCTTAAATAGCTCGAGATAATCTTTGATCACCCATCCAATGATTTAACTTCCACTATCGCAGGCCAAAAGCGCTAACCACTTGCGCCATCGAGCTCCTCAAACCTCGAAATAAGTATTGGTAGATATGTTTTTATTTCTTAAGCATTTAACTGCTAGATGTTTAAATCTTAACAAAATTTTCTTATCAGGGCCGCGGTAGCATAATGGTCAGTGCGTTCGCCCGGATAGCGAGGGGTTCGTGTCCCGCCTGCTGCCTGGAGCTTTACACTCTTTCTCCGCAACGAAATTTCGGTAATGATCGAATTTGAAACGTTTCGCCACTGACTCTACTCCATTTCATTTTAGAACAGGCACATAAAGTTCGGAACCACAAACAGTAATCGTGAACGAATGGAATGAGTCACGTTTTTGAGTTCTTTTTATCTCTACTTTTGAGATTTCGTTTTTTTACTTGGAAACAACATAGGTAGGTTACGGCAAATTTTTTTAAGATATTGAAAGAACCTTCTTTGACAATGTTGTCGACTAATTTGTAGAGTCGATACAATCTATTTTATGTCAACCTAAATTTGTTGTTTAATACTTTGAAGTATTAGAATTACAATAAATAATAAAAAAAAATCTTTTTCTTAATTTTACATGCTAAAAATGTTCCTCGAGCTAAGCAGTCTTGATTAAAAAATACTCTTGCATGCATTTAAGGCTCAATTAAAACGAAAATCTCAAAACGAAAATGAAAAGGTAACACTTTTCATTTCGTCAATTTGAGGTTAAAATTTCGAACAATTATCTGTCAATGAATTTGACAACAAACAATTTTTCATTCGAAAGTTTTGTGAATTAAAGTAGGCTTTGAGAATTTGATTGTCAAACTTATTTCGGACGAACGAATTTTCGAAATGAAAAGGAAACAGTAAGGAACGTGCGAAATTTCGATCCAAATTTCCTTTTTCGTTCAAATAGAGTAGACCTCCTGGTCCGCGTGGATTTTTTTCTAGTAAACTTTTCTTAAGTATAAGTAGATTTATTTCTAAAGCCAACATACCTTGTCATACCGCGCCTTGTCTTGCTCGGACAACGCCTCGTATTTCGACTTGGTCTGCGGGTCGGCGGCGGCCCACAGACGACCGAGCTCCTTGGCGATGTCGCCCATAGTGAACATGGGGTTGTTAGCCTTCACTTTAGAGCGTTCGTCGTTGCAGAACCAGAAGAACGCCGACCTGAGAATATGATGCAGAAAATTGAATGAGCTTTTGAGATAAATGTAAAAAAAACATTTCGGTGAACCGGCAAGCTACGGTGCGCACTGAGGCTTAAAAGCCACCGGTTTTGCCGCATAAAGGAGCGGCCGACATGTCTGGTGAATTATATGCTCAACGGCTTTATGCAAGTTTCTGCGGCACGTGCCGGCGGCACAGATGCACGGCAATAGCCAGAGGCTAGTGCCGCCGCCATTGTGTGTAGGAGCCATTAAATATGGTTGAGCATAGCGATGGCTGGTTCATGTGTCATGCTCGCAAACGGGTGCTGCCAGCGGAGATGGGTCTACTCTAACTACTTTGCTATTTAGTGTGTTATCTAATATACCTAATATAAATAACACGTTTTTGTATTTATAGTGTACAGCAATCAAAGTGCAGGTGAACAATTAATATATATTTCACATAATGTAATGAAAGGTGACTTCATGAATCATCTTTGAAGTATTTTTTCAACTTGACGACTCTGTATATAAAATAATAATACAGGGAGAAAAACACAGCCCTCGGTGAGTTTCTTGCCGGTTCTTCTCAGTACCTACGACTTCTCCCGCCGTAGATTTACGAACCGATGGCGTATCTACTAGACATTTATGAGTACTTGTAACAGCCTAAACTGAATCAATAATTTCGAATAATATTTTTTTTCTGACCCGTGGATTAGTAGTTTATAGAACGACTGGGGCAAATACGAAGGCGTATTTTTCTCCGTAATGCGTGGAGTACTGGTGTATAGAACGAATGGTTGATGTATTGGCAAGAATTGAAAAAATCATGAAAAAAATGGTTTTTTCTGGATCATATATTTTTTCACGAGTATAGAATTCAAAATTATTAAGGAAGTTTCCGTTAAAGGTTGCTTAGTTTTCAATTTATATTATTTGTTTTCCGTTTTTTTAAACCAACCACACATTTTTGATTAAAAATTACCAACCAAGGTTTCCACAATTGGCAGCAAAACGTATGGGATATTTGGTTTCTTGAAAAAAAAAGGGCCTAGGTTTTTTCCCATGTTTTTTTCAAAAACGATAGGAATAAAACAATTTTTTTATTTTACATCACTGGGTGGTAATAGCTGCGCTCCTGCCGTCTGCTTCAGAGGTACCGGATTGGAAGTTCGGTAGAGGTGTATTTGTGTGATGAGGTCCTAAGTGTATATAAGTCGGTACCTAATCTATAAATACATATATAAAAATCAATGCTGTTCGTTTGTCTCACTAAAACTCGAGAACAGCTGGACCGATTTAGATTATGGTGTTAAAATGTTTGTCGTAGTTCAGGGAAGGTTTAAACGGTAAAAATATATGGAAACAGCGCGAGAAAGATAGTAAAAACCACAATTCATTTTTCCCATATAAACTGTTCTACCCACTTTCCTGTCAAATATTTGGACCTTTTTCGAATTTTAGAGAGAATCTTAATTGCTTATGATAGGTGATGCGAAGTACACCGGGTCATCTAGTTATTAATAAAATTTCTTTAATGTATTGTTATGAAATTTCCTATAATATTTAGAGTTTATCTCACTTCGTTTAAGTCTTACTATCAACGATATTAAATACCCTAGATACACCAACACGATATCTGTCGTACGTGTGTACTTCTGCAGGCTATGGCGGTCGTTTACAATCAGATGGACCTTAAAATGAATCTTTTATATGTCGCTAACATCAATAAAAACAAAAATATCAAAAGTATAATGTCGAGACCGTAACTCACAGAGATCTCTTGGGCGCGTTGGGGTCCTTCACTTGCCGCTTGCGCCCGCGCACCTTCACGTCCTTGGGCGGCACGTAATTGCGCATCTCCAAGTCGTGCCTGACTTTGTCCTGCTCTGCCATCTCATGGAACCGCTCCTTCTCCTTTTCTGACATGGTCTGGAAACAAGGCAACTAATAAAGAACCTATCGCAATGTCAGTTGTTACATGTAACAAATAGGATTCGAAATTATAATTCCCGTACCCCAAGCACGAACAACAAGCGAGAAAGTATTCGTATCGCCATCGCTAAGTTACTATGTAAACTTAGCCTAGCCCCAAAGTAAGCACTGTAGGCTTGTGTTATGGGATACTAGGGTAACGGATAGAATGCATATACTGATACTTATATATAAGTATATTTATATAAAAATACATATTAAACATCCATGAAAAAGAAACAAGCTTATTCTTCATTTATTAATAAGAATAAGACACAACCCCACCGATTTTGGGTTCGTTGGATTGCTTAACAAGTACTCTGGTTCTACGGTCTAGTAATAATTCTGCAATACCTCCAAAGTAGAGCCATCCCAGAGGTGCAGGCATTATTCAACGCAGTAACACGCTCAGGCTTGAAGGAAAGGCGGTACCTACCTTGTGATCATGTTTTCGTTATTTGCCGAATTCTGCACCCACAAACCAGCTAACGTATAACTCAGTTATGTACATATGTATAGAAAGATTATAATCACGAAACTTACATTCCACCTCTCGGCACACTTCTTAGAGAACGCAGCAAATATCACAGTCTCCTCCGGGTGTTTCTTCTTGTGTTCCTCGCGGCAGGTTTGTACGAAGAACGCGTAAGCTGTCATACGACCACGCGGCTTATTATAGGGCCTCGCACGCGGCATCCTTGTTTTGGTGACTGTGCCTTGAGCTAAAGCTTGCTGCTGCGCTTGTTGCTGGAGCTCCTGATAATATAATTATATAGATAAGTATTAAACCATGTAACGTACATCCTCCCAAAGATAGCTGAGACAGTACGTATACCTATTTCAAATTGTGTTTTCTGCATTTCTACATACTGCGAATTTTAACTAGGTAAAAACAGTTTCTTTATTGATCGACTTTGCCGCTACTCTTGCACCAACCATAACAAAACTTATTTTTTCTTTTTAGTAGGTATATTTTAAACGGAATTAGCGCTTAGGTTTTACTTAAATTATATTTTCATCTAAATTCAGAAAGGAATGCGGCGTAGAACTCACAGAACACAAGAGTTTTCTAGAAATACATACATAGGCAAAAATTAAAATTTTTGCTCCAAAAAAATAAATATATTTTTGAAGAATGCATTATCCGCTAACTTTCTGCATAACTTAATACTAACGGAGTACAATAAAATAAAATGAAAATATTGTCATTAAAATTCAATTAAACAAAACAATAACTACAAACCTGTAGAGTGGCAGATTGTCTTTGTAGAGCAGCTTGTATCTGTTGCTGTTGGACTGCTTGCATGTGATCATGCAGCGACTGCTGTTGCTGCTGCAATGTCTGAGCGACTTGTTGCTGCAAGGCCGCTTGGGCTTGTACGATAGCCTGTGCCTGAGCCTGGCTCACTTGCAGAGTCTGCTGTATGCTCTGTTGCAGTGCTTGCTGATGATGTTGTTGTTGTTGTTGTTGTTGCTGCTGCTGCTGCTGCTGTTGCTGTTGTTGCTGCTGTTGTTGCAATTTTTGTTGTTGCTGCTGCAACTGTTGCTGTTGGTGCTGCTGTAGCATTTGCTGTAGGGTCTGCTGCTGACTCTGCTGTTGCTGTTGCAATGCTTGCTGCAAATTCTGTTGTTGTATCTGCTGCAGTTGGTTTTGTTGTATCGCTTGGTTTTGCTCTTGCGATTGCTGCTGTAAAACTTGTTGGTTCTGCTGGATACCATTCGTTTGCTGATTTCCCTGGTCACGATCGGGACTTGACTGGTTTTGTGACTGGAAAGAGTTTTCAGTTATTAGTAAATTAATAGATAGAAATTTCACACGATGCGGCGGGGCAGCACATGCCGAAGGCAGTTAGTGACACTACAGAACGCGCAGCGAACCACCGCGATACTGGCAAATTCTTTATTAAATCAAAGGTCGAATACGCTGATTTTCATAAGCGGCTTGCTCGGCCTGTCACAAACAATATTATGCTTGAATATGCGGTGCCATTAAGTACATGTTGTCGGACGCCACATTTTAAAATGAAAAGACAGTTTTTTTAGCCGTTGCGATTATTCGTTAAGGATTTAGATCGTTCTTTCTGTCAATAATAAGAATGCGTTTCCACGGAAGCGAAGCTGCGCGGAGTTCAGCTGCGCTCACCAGTGTAAGTAAAGTTTTAACGGCCTCCGCTGCCTTAAGCTCCCGCTTACGGTTACGGATAGAGTGGACGTCCGCTCCGCGTACTGTTTTATGTAATTTCATAGACCAGCGCTGCGTGCGACGGGAGACCCCCGCGGGCGATGGGGCACGCTCGATTGGCTTTCTTGTACTCTTGTCAGTGTCATCTTTTGGCTAGGTAGTATTATCATCAATAATAATCCATTATTCACACGCGCAATCGAAATTGTAATAGCGGCGCTGCGAGACGGAGACCCAGGACAGGTTAAATTTGTCCGCGACGGAGCACGGAGCGGGTCTCCGCTTCCGCTCAAGGCAGCGGAGGCTCTTAGTTTTTAATGCAGCTGCGCAAAGATAAGTAATACATAACTTGCTTAGTTGAACCAAAAGGAAACAAACAAACTGACATGAATGGAGGAGTGGTACTAAGTGAAGATGAGCGGATTAGAGCTGTGATACATTTTATTTGAAAAAAAAAGAAAGGTCCGCTTCGTCCCACCCGTCTTTGCTCTATCTCGCACAACTTCACTGAGCTCAAATTTTACCAGACCACAGCTTGCGCCGCCATGAAAACACGATATGGCCGATATGGCCAGCTTTACTCCGCGAGCTTTGCTTTATAACTCTTAACTGATCTCAACTCCGCTCATACTGATTCCACCAAAGCGAAGCGACGCTAAAATGAGATGTGTATTTTTAGAGATATCATTGGTCATTTTTTTCAAGTTCTCCGCTCAGGCACTACTGTGAAACGCAGTCAGTCTTTGGTGAACAAGAACAGAAACAAGTACTTCGGTAAGTTCCTACATGACAAAATATTATTATTGCTAATAATTACATAAATTCTGAGCAAGTATTTTACTAACTACTTTCTAATCAGTCCTTCTTTTCAACTGTTTTATTTTTATCGGCTTTCCTATCGTAAAACTCGTTAAAGTAATATATAATCAAACGAAGCAGCCTATAAAAATAGACAAAAAACTTAGACATTACCTTGGCATGTGCATGTCATTTTTACCATAAAGTTCAAAGACATAATAAACTCTTTTATCGTCACAAATACAAAATTTCGCGGCACAATGTGACCTCCTTCTCCAATGTTTTTATAACTCAAACCCAAAATTCATTTCATTAGGGTTGGTTCAGCTGTTTAGGCAAGTAAGCATGACAAACAGCCAAAACAGACAGATAATTTCGTATTTTTAATAATAGTACGACTGTGATAATTAAACCTAATCCATACTTACTTACTTATATTATAAATGAAAATGAGTTACCTGCTCACGCTTAAACCGCTAAACCGATTTTCATGAAAATGGTACAGAGATAGTTTGAGTCCCGGGGAAGGAAATAGGATTTAATTAGTTTATCCCAGAAACCATCCTTAAAGAGGGTGAAATAGGGGGTGAGAGTTTATATGGGAAAGCATTTTTTAAAGCAGACGATGTAGCGGGCATCTATAAGTACAATTACTTTTTTTTATAGTTACGTGGGCAAATGTTATGATGACCGTTTTAACACATTACAATAGTAACGTGAAATTACATTTTGTTACCGAAAAAATCTAATATAATGAAATCCGAGTCTCTTGGTCTCATTGATAGTTTGATTTTTAATTCTACCGAATTATAACATGTCGGAAGTATTGCCAATGATAAAACAGCCCAATCAAAAGTCAAAATATCTTTATTCAAATTGGATGCAAAATACAACTCTTTTAAATCGTCCATATTTTTCCCCCTACCACCAGTTAAGGAAATTTTTTAGCTGTGGAGAAAAACTGACGAAAAAAATTTCACATCGTTAATAATTAAGTAACAATATTTACAAAATATTATATTGTTACGGTGTCAATACAAAATAATTTCGTCTTCATCATAATTAAAGAAAAAGCCTGCCGGAACGTTTGGAATAGTTTAAACCCAAGCATTATTGTTTGAAATATAATCAGACACTTTATAATAGGCTTTATTAATAATAACTCTTTTAATAGTAGTTTTAAATTTATTGACGCTTAATGTTTGGGTATTGCTAGGGACTTTATTGTAGAAGCGTACACTAAGACCTTCAAATGAATTATTGATTTTGTAGAGCCTTGTAATCGGTACAGCTAATTTATTTCTAGTACTAGCTTTTGCCCGCGACTTCGTCCGCGTTATCGTCGTTTTTCGTAAAAAAGTAGCATATCGTCGGTGATATTCTGAAACCGCGGAACTAACAGTGTTTAAAACCGCGTATTTACAAAACTAGCAAAATCGAGATTTCGCGGGCTTAGCTTCGTTGTAGTGATTGGCTGCGTTCTGTGATGATGGCTGGGCCTATTATCCAATAGGAAGCCGTGGAATCGAATGTCTTTTCATCCGCGTAACTTCAGGTGATTGTTTATTGTGCCCAAACCGCGTATGCATGTAACTTGCTACTGGTTCGACGAAACCGCCTGTGATTTAAGAGCTACCACTTACGCATCATTTTTCATTGATTATTTGACTAAGTTATTAGAAGAAGATTGCAGGGATGTTGTCATCTGGACGGATGGCTGCACTGCACAGAACAGAAACTCAATAGTTTCTAATGCCCTTATAAGATTAGCAGTAGACAAAAATACAACAATTACAGAAAAGTATCTGGAAAAAGGTCACACTCAAATGGAGGTTGCCTCCGTACACTCCGTAGTGGAAAGAAAGCTGAAAAATGTTGAAATTTTTCTTCCTTCTCAGTATGCCTCAATTACAAAAGAAGCCAGGAAGCATCCTTCTCCATACCAGGTTTTTCAACCAGATTACACCTTTTTTAAAGACTACAGTCTAAAAGAATACCAAATTTATGATTCCATTCGTCCTGGGCGTTCTGCTGGAGATGATTGCGTAGTGGATCTGAGGGTTTTAAAGTATAATCCTAACGGCACAATAGAGTTTAAAAAACACTTTTAAAGATGATTTCAGCCCACTTCCTCGGAGACCAAAACCTATTTCAGCTGTAGTTATAATGTACCTCCCCTGTATTCATCTAGACTGCCTATATTAGACAGTAAGTATCAGCACTTACAGCAATTAAAGAGTGTGATACCTGCAGATTGACACTTATTTTACGATAATTTGCCATTTAAGAAAAAGTAATGTTTTATTGATCTCATTTTAACAAAGACCTCAGTGCAATTATTATTCTACTCAGAAGTAATATTTATATACTTTTTGTTCTTCATTTTTAGTTTTAACTGTTAATTAGTAAGTACCCTCTCAACAAGGTATGTTTAACACACTTAGCTATAAAGAGCTATTTTTTTTTAACATTATGGGGATTTATGGTGTTAATTTCCTGTATATTGTTGATTACCTAATGTACCGGTGATAAATATGTGCCAAAAATTAAACTCTTTAATTAACTAATTTGACTTAATAAATAATTATAGGATGTTGATTGTATTCTTTTGTTTTATTTCGGCGGACAATTCCGCTTAAGTGACATAAAAAAACTCATTTTGATTTTATTTGAGATAATAAAACCGCGAAAGTCGATTTACTAATTAATTAATACATATTTAACAAAACTAATGCCTACAATACCAAGAAGAATATTATAATTTGACGATTTAAATGTTTAAACAATAGAAAGTCATGTGATTCAGTAAATATTATGTTTTTCTTCGTTCCTGTAAAATTCACTGCACCTACCTTACGCGGTTTTAAACACTGTTAGTTCCGCGGTTTCAGAATATCACCGACGATATGTCTTGCAACTGGGTTACTTTAAGCCGAGTTCCATTGCAAATTTGTGGTGGTCTTAAATTTCGGAGCAGAATAATCGGAATGCCAATTTTTAAACAAATTTCATGAGAAGGAAGTACGGGCATATTTAAAGAATTTAAAAATTCTATCGGGTAATTAGTGACTTCTTGTTCATCGGCCATTCTATTTATTGAACTATAAACTTTGCTTTCCCCTTGGATATTTTATTATTAATCTCAGATGCCTGGTCATTGCGAGGAGTTAAAATGGACCTTTCGCATAGCCAAGAATTGTTCTTATTTAATTTTTTACGTCACCGTAAACTGACGATGTAAGATGTTGTTGGGATTGCACTATACAACATAACTCAGGCGTCAGAATAAGTTTTCCTTGGTGTAGCAGTGGATAGGTATCTTTGGTGAAGGAATTTTCTTTAATAATATATCAGAAAATTCACGATCATCCGGGTTATCTACAGTTCTCACTCGCATATTTATAGTCAAATGCACCGATTGTATATCACGCCACAAATAAGAGCTTTTCAGGCAAGTCCTAACCTCAGCAGCTCGGGTTCCCCGTGGTATTACCGTTAAGGTTTGTCGGAAATCACCACAAAATAAAACTGTGATACCGCCCATAGGTCGATCATTTTGTCTTATATCTCTTAAAGTTTTTCGTAAAAAAGTAGCATATGTCCTTCCTCAGGGTTCCGTGGTTTTGATGTGACAGACAGATTAACTTTCGTATTTTAGTAAGGAAATATAATACTGTTAAAAATATCGCAATAAGGAACCGCAGAATATTATTATTATCACTGTGCCCCGAGACCATTAGCGTGTAACTCCTTGTATGTTATTATGTTAATGTATTGGTAATATTGTT